ACAACTTGATCCGCGTCGAAAATCTTATGTTGAACTGCCAAAAGGGAGAGGTATCAAAAAGGTCAGCTTCCTGAAGGAAATCACTGAATGCCCAAAATCTAGCGAGAATCTCAGCTCCGATAGATGTTGACCAGACAGACGTCACTCCATCAAAATGCAGCGCGTCACAGCCTGGTATCAAACCTAGAGAGCGAGGGTCGCGTTGATCAAGGTCAGACAACGCCCCGAAAATGTGCAGCAGGTCACAGCCTCGTACCAAAGCCAGACGTGTGCGTCAGCATTGAACCGAGTTCAGACGGTATCCTTCCAATAAATAGCATGACAGACGTGTGCGTCAGCATTGAACCGAGTTCCGACGGTATCCTTCCAATAAATAGCATGAGACCGTTGTACATTCGCACTCGCACGCACTCATGCTCTCGCACTCGGTTGTTCGGAATACAGCTGTTGTGTTTCCTACTGTGAGTGTTTTTCCGGCAACTAGGCGTTGCGGCGGGTCAGCAGCAGATACCACAGATTGACGAGGCCAAAATAGAACAATCATTTTGTCCGACCCCGAACCTGCAACTTGAGTGTCTTCCAAATTTTATTGTTCCAACTGCAGCTAAATTGCATCACCATCCACAACTACGGTAATAATTTCCACGCCATGCTCTTGGAAGATTGACCGGGTCACACGCCACTTGTCACCTTCATTGGCTCGAAAATTAGGAACAAAAGTCAAGCCACAAACTCCTGATCGAAATTGATGTTGACACTACTGACTCTCCTGATTCCTTCCTCCATCCCGTTTCACGCCCAGAAGCTGCTTCAGACACCCTACCTTTGAAAACGCTTTCAAATAGCGAAACTAGACTCCACTGTCACCCCTCGGCTACTTGATTCCTGCCTCCGTGTGCTAGCCACCACGTATCAACGAGGCATGTTATCTTGTGACATTTTCTCGCGCAGGAAGTCAACCATGATGTCGATCTCCAAGAAATCTTTCGGCGAATTGTCTACGGAATGCGTCCGCACCTATATCATCAGGGACTTAGCCAGACATCCCAAAATGACACACTTCGTAGTCATTCAAATAAACCTGCCTCCAAATAAAATCCTTCGTTCTAGATCACTCAAGGAGTGCCCGGTGGTGCGGTCGTTCATGTGACATGCTCATGGCACATGTCTGCATTTCTGACGAAGTTTTCTCACGCTGGAGCCGTTTCAAATAAGTCATGGCTGTACGGCGGTGAAGCATTTGTGTGGGGCACCGATGTCATGCTGTCGTTGATGATGATGATGTTGATGATGGACCACTTCAGAGGAATTGACCCGAAAACCTAAAATTCGGTCTTCTCTGTGCTTTTAGTAGAAAATGCTGCTTGTCGCAGCAACTAGGACGCCAGTTGGTCCGACAGAAATATATAAATTGCTTACTAGCATCTAAAAGCCAGGAACAAGTGGTTTTGCAACCGCAAATCTCTCGAGACGACGCTTCTAGGAGCGCAAAATGTAGCACTTCGAAAGAAGTGGGTGGCAAAAGTCACATTTTCACTGGATCAAACCACCTCCACCGGAGACAAGGGGACAACTAGATCCGAACATATAGTGGGCAAAAGCACCGTAAAGCGAAAGAAGGTCCACTTGAATCGACTGAGGCAGGAGGCAAAGTTACACCGCAGAAGACACATTAGAAACAAGTGCTTAGATACTAAAAACTTTGGAGACTCAATACCTGCCTGATCTCGGCCATTCTAATGAGGCAGAGGCACTACGCCATGGACTACCCAAAGCTTTTCACAAATTTTTCGAGAGTCAGTGGCCACAAATGTTGGGTAGCAGCACAAAGCTGCATGCAAAGAAACCTGGCGCAGACTAGAGTTGACCTCGTTTGACGGTTGCAACACAGGAGCATGCAGCGCTCTCTTACATTTGAATACAACCCTGTATGATCCCCCGACTGCTCCAATATGCAGCGAAATGTGGATTCGGATTTTGCTTCGCAGGACGGATTCTCGATGCGTTCGTTTATCGTAATCGTTCATGTCCATCGGAGAAGCACCGCAAGTAGATCTTTTACGGCTACCGTTTTACACATGTTTCACTGGTAACTGAATTCAACGTTTATAAGGTCTCCTACCTGGTGTGAGGTTGCTGCCGCCAGTGGCCAGCCTGCTTGGCCGCTCAGTCTATTCAGGCAATAAATCACATAGGGTCAACGTATAACCTCATTAACCATACACTGCGCAGGCCAAAGGCCAGTCATACGGGATCAAGGTAACATTGATGGACAGCGTTTTATCGATCAGGAGATAAGTGTGGCCCAAATGTGACGCTCAACCTCATTTGCCAATGAGCGCAAAGCCGAACATTTTGAGACCGGCTTGAAGTGAGGCTAGTTCACGTACGTACAGCTTACTGTCCACCACCAAAGCTACCAAGGAGGATTCTGCACTTTCTGGATACCTGGTTCACATGGCTTTCCGAGGGTATCGGCGAAGATGATTGGAAGCTGGGCTGGTATTTTGCGATGAGCGAAGCCTTTATAAACTAGAGATTCTCGGACTAAACATGCGAAAGTAGAATGTAGTACTGAGCCTTATAAGGTAATGGAAAAACGTAAAATTCAGGTTAATGCACCACTGCCCAGAGAACCTCTCCAGGAAGAATTCCTTGACGAATAGGATAAATATGCTGACACTAAAGTAGAAGCCAAAGCCAAAATGCTTTCTAGTCATTTCTGACTAGTTCATCAGTTTACGGCTGCAACCCTATGACGCTCTCCTTTTTCTAACCCCTCTGTGGCCACAACCCCCCGCCAGCCTTTCTTTTCATTCTGACTGTAACATTATGATCACGCCTAACGGTATGCCACCCACAAGTCGAAGTACACCGGGGGGTCCTGAAGATAATGTCGCTCGCACTCTCAGAGCATTTCGCTCTGATGTTTTGTGAGTCGATAGATGAAGGCAGTCACACCCGTGCTCGAAAGGAAGTGATTGTCGTGCCAATCGTAAAACGGGTGGCACTTTGTCGACCGGCAGCTACGCAACTAATAGCCTCAAGGGTTTACTGTGGAAGGCGACGGAAATTAATTGGAAGCTGACCAACTTAAATCACCTGAAAAGAAACTATTTTATATACCCCGGCACAACACGGATCCGCCCAAACCGTTCTTGCGTAGCCAACGTGCGCGTGCTCATGCACACGTACTGGACGCCGTATTTTCAGCCTCTCGGAGGGATTCGGCCGAGTCCCACTGGTTCCATTGCTTCATAGACAAGTCTTGCAGCTCTCATGCGGAAATCCTACGATGGGGAAAATGAAATATTTCGGGGGGAAGTTTGCCCAAACAGCCCTGCACCGGTCTTCGTTGTAGATCCTCAATCTTCGCTTTTGGACCAATACTATTTTTGATCTACATCAACTGTCATCCCGACGCGAATTCCATTTCAGGTCTCACTTCTTCGGACGGACCTGAATTTCCGAATTTACAACGCCAAAGCCATACTGATGGGTGTCAACACTTCAAGGCAGGGGTAAATCTGGCCCTTACCCCTGAATGACGAAAAGCGCGTCCATATTTGGTTCGCATTAGACTAATTTGACAGCTCCTTTGTGCATGATGAAAGATGGATGAAGACGTTGCGGATAAGGGTACCAAAAAGTGTTTAATCACCTGACCTTCTCTAAGCATACCATTTTCACTCCAGCTTGAAAGATCAGATGGAAATGCATTTTTCGCTTCGTGTCTAATTTGGCGCACCTTCGTATTATTCGCATTTATTTCCGGATACTGTATTGGCCTACGTCAGACTGTCTCATGAAAAGGCCAACCAAGTTCCCTTCTCGTAACACTCATTCCTCGTTGAGTGTGTTTGGCTGGCTGCTGAGATGATGGTTACTTTCGTCAAATCCCGTGACCACAAACCGCGTCCTTTGGTGCTTGAAATATACTCCCGGGCGTATCCTCGCCGCCGAGGGTAGCTGATATTGCTTACGGCCTTTTTGAAAAAGGTTTGGACAACGTTGCCACCCTTGGCCTACCTAACGCACTGCAGGGATATGCAGTGTATCTCAGATCACACACTAATAAACAACTTTCCTCAGTACATGTAGTTAGGTAGTATAATCTTCCTCGGACGGTTCTTCAGACTGCGTCCATAGCCCAGTTCAAGGCCCATTTTGATACCTTTTATATGAATCCTCGCAATTGCAAGGTTATTCCCCAGCGCCGAGAGTGCTTCCACGTGCTTTTTCGCCCATACCGTTCAGGAAAATGGAATAGGTTGAACTACAGGAACAAAGATGAACTGTAGTGGTTTGGTTACCCAATAAGTTATTTTACCAGGAGTGTGTGGCAAAGAAATAAAAATAACAACGCAAGGTTGGGTATACAATAATAAAGAGGTCAGATGGAGCGGACTCACTAACAGCTGTTCTCTTTAAAATAGTTCGTCGTTGGCCCAGGTCAGCGAATAAACAATAATCCAATTATGGTGTTCCAGGGGTCTTCTTCTGAACAGTCCCCACATATAATAGATTCCGAAGATGGTCTGAAATGTTTTGCTACCAGAGTTAGTACATGAGACTCACGAATGGCCGCTTCAAGTGCAAGCGAAATCAGAAGGGAGAGTCGAAGCATGTGATCATGCTTGTATTCTGAGAAATTGTACAAGTGCGCGTTTCTTTGAAGTTTTTCGTATTCAAACAAAAAACAGTATTGCAACTGATGAAATGCGTAATGTTATAATGGAAGCAAAATAAAGGTACAAAACGTCACAGAACCACGAATCATGGGCGAATGCATTGATTCTGTGTAGCAATCCGTGAACCCGTGTCTCTCAGTCACAAATAATGAGGGAAAACTGTTCCCATTGTGTTTGGCTGCATAATCCGGATTCATCCACTGGAACAGTGACCAAAAATCTGAGTCCGATCCGGCTCATCCACCTAGTATACTTACGGAACCTACTGCCTCATGTAGGTCGCCTCATCATTGTGTGACCTTCGCGAGTGCTTCTCCCGCGCTTTTGGAACCGAACGCCGGTCGGTTTTTCTTCCCTTTCTGGAGCAGTTTCATGGTTCATCCTGAGACTTGGGTGGATTTATGGGTAGTTCCTCACTCAAAACACTAAGAATATATCGTGTGTTACAGGACCGTGGCCAGGATTTGATAAAGTATCAAGTCACAAGCACTGCAGTGCATGAACGCCTGTACAAGTTTTTGCTGGATTTCGCGAAGCTTCAGCTTGAGGCTTTTGCAGCGCAAAAGTAGGCTCATAATGGACTTGAAAATGTTTCTGTAGGAAGCTTTGTGAGAAGTATGCGGTCGATTCAGAGAAATATTTTGGAACGACGAACACTTTTGGTTCTGCCATCAATGAATTCCTTCGAGTCACTCAGTTATTAGTTGATACAGAAGGCCTGGTGGCAAACTCTTTCGAACTACAAGGAGGAAATGATGTGAAACAGGCAATTAAATCTGAACGACATGGAATGAAGCGATGGAAGCGTGATCGGTACTGTCCTATCTCCATTAACTAACGTTCATAAGTGACAAACTGGTGTCCGAAATGAAGTGTCAGACGAGGATTATCGACGACGAGATTAAGCGATATCGTGACAAGTACAGGGATATGGTCAAAGCGAACGAAGATTACGCACGCATTGAGGCTGATATTTCACACTCCCAGAATGATGTTACAAAGGTGGGTTTGCTAGTCGTAATCAGATGTTCTTTGTTGCAATACGTACTTTTCTTTCATGGACTGTCTGCATCGCTGACCTCTTTTAGCTCAGCCTTACACTGAGTAGAGGCGGAAGATGTATGATCTGGAAAGGACGTATTAAAACGCCTATTAGTAAACTCACTGGGTCCCCGGTACTCGATTCGCCAATCGTTGATGACACTAGCTGATAAGGCTCAACCACACAGTTTGTAACGCCTTTGATGCGTAGCTTTCTAGTTTCCAGAATTGATTGTTTTCCATCGCCCTAACGCTTGGCCATATCCCCACTGCTCTCTCACCGAAACTGTAGCAGCTGGAACCAACATACCTTTAGTACATGTCTTATAGCTGATAGACTGAACCAAACTGAGTTAACACTGGCACTTAACTATTATAGAATTGTGAAGAAATGTTCCATTTATCATTTGGAGGAAAGACCGGGGGTCGGCTCCCGGTCTGCTTCCAGAGGCACTTTTTGCATCGTTTCTTGGGAGAGGACGACATTGAGGGATCATTTTCGTGACCACACAGAAAAATAAAAGGCTCGGTACCTATAAGCTCTGTCAGTATCCTGAAGAATTGAAGCACTGAAGTTTATGAAATACATTTGGAGAGCTCCACTGGCGGCTTTAGTTCCCTTTCCCAGACATAACCTCTTCGGTTGTCGGACTACTGTTGGCCTGTCTTCAGATATTGAAGCAGGTTAAAATCCATACTTAATTATTCTCTTTAGTCTATCCTCGCCCACAGCAAGTGATCTGCCCGTTCTGGCCAATAACCTGGAAATTTGTTTGTCCTTGAAAAGTCCTGAAGTTTCTGTGATGTTTTCGACACAGACATCAGTTCACAACTCAACTGAGGGACATCTTTGGTAAATATCCCCAGAGAAGCTCGTGCGTTCTACTCCAGTATGTTGCCTTTGGCTTGAAATAAGCCGTAGGCATCCTTAAGGTGGATATTTCACGGGATAATCCAAGTTGTCAGCTGCGAAACTCCAGCCACTCTTCATCTACCACTCTTTTCAATGGGCTACTGGCAGTTTAGTGATCTTGGTGCCGGAGATAAGGCATAATCAATGACAACATACGGATGTGCTGTGTAGCGTGTTGACGCAATTTTCAGTGGCGCGCACTTGGTAGTGGTCAAGCATTAATCGGACAAGTTCACGACGAATCAAGTTCTGGTTGAAAGCGAGCGTTTCAACCGTCGACAGTCAAAGGCTCCCCCTACCTTCGCTACAGACTTCTCTAGATGATTTCGTTATGGGAGGTATTTCATCCTGGCGTTCGGTTCGTGAATCGATCAGCTGTGCCACCCTTCCGGTGCCTAGCTGACATGTCAGTGAAATGGGCGACGGGAGTTGAGATACTGCCCGGTTGCTCAAGCCTAGGCGGGAGCAGTCGAGATGTTGAGGTTGGTTTCGGACCACGGGTCACCCGGTCCGTGAGCTGGCCCATTCACCACTGAGCTATCTCGAACCGTCGAACTGTGTGGGGCTGATCATCCAAACCGATTCAAGGGGGATCTGAATGCACTGACCACCTTCGGCTCTATTTACTTTCAGGAAAGTCTAAGGTTGTGCAAGGGTATGAGCAGTATAACGGGACACTTCCGTCAACTCGGTGAACAGAACATAATCATTTAGAGTCGAAGTTCGGTAGGCTTCAGCATTGGCGTCGGATCTGGATATTTCCTCAGGCGCAGGTCTTCTTGGTTACATTTCAGAGCACCGTTATGTGCTCCAGTGTGAATAGATTCCTGGTTACACATACCACAGGATATTCAGCGTTGCGGAATACAGGAGTCACATGGGTTTTTCGATACTGCCCACATTCCGATGTCAGTTCTCTAGCGCTCACGCTAACTTATTAGGGCTGGCGTGCTTCAGAAAGGATCAGATGAATGACGTGAAATGTGAATGCACATGGGGACTGTCGAAGTCTGGAAGCTCCAGTGTAATACCCATGACGCGCACTGAAAAGCTGTTATTGCATCCTCAGTGGGGAAAGTGCATAAGGGCGAGAGCTTGAGAGATAGAGAAGCATTCTGCTGTTGAAAACATTCGTACCCTGTAATTACTGATACGATCGACTGGCCATAGGAAAGCAATGGTCAATGAAACGATGAATGAAAAGGCGCTTATTAATTCACCCTTAAAAATGTCGACTGGGAAGATGGGCCGAACACTTCGAAAAAGAGTTTAGCTTGCCTCCTGTCACACAGCCTCTGGAGATAGTGCATAGGTGAATTGAATGTTAACCTTAATCACCTGTCGGAAGAAGAAATAAAGTACAAACTGTCCGTACTGAAACGTGAGAAGACACTATGGTAAATATCCCCAGAGAAGCTCGTGCGTTCTACTCCAGTATGTTGCCTTTGGCTTGAAATAAGCCGTAGGCATCCTTAAGGTGGATATTTCACGGGATAATCCAAGTTGTCAGCTGCGAAACTCCAGCCACTCTTCATCTACCACTCTTTTCAATGGGCTACTGGCAGTTTAGTGATCTTGGTGCCGGAGATAAGGCATAATCAATGACAACATACGGATGTGCTGTGTAGCGTGTTGACGCAATTTTCAGTGGCGCGCACTTGGTAGTGGTCAAGCATTAATCGGACAAGTTCACGACGAATCAAGTTCTGGTTGAAAGCGAGCGTTTCAACCGTCGACAGTCAAAGGCTCCCCCTACCTTCGCTACAGACTTCTCTAGATGATTTCGTTATGGGAGGTATTTCATCCTGGCGTTCGGTTCGTGAATCGATCAGCTGTGCCACCCTTCCGGTGCCTAGCTGACATGTCAGTGAAATGGGCGACGGGAGTTGAGATACTGCCCGGTTGCTCAAGCCTAGGCGGGAGCAGTCGAGATGTTGAGGTTGGTTTCGGACCACGGGTCACCCGGTCCGTGAGCTGGCCCATTCACCACTGAGCTATCTCGAACCGTCGAACTGTGTGGGGCTGATCATCCAAACCGATTCAAGGGGGATCTGAATGCACTGACCACCTTCGGCTCTATTTACTTTCAGGAAAGTCTAAGGTTGTGCAAGGGTATGAGCAGTATAACGGGACACTTCCGTCAACTCGGTGAACAGAACATAATCATTTAGAGTCGAAGTTCGGTAGGCTTCAGCATTGGCGTCGGATCTGGATATTTCCTCAGGCGCAGGTCTTCTTGGTTACATTTCAGAGCACCGTTATGTGCTCCAGTGTGAATAGATTCCTGGTTACACATACCACAGGATATTCAGCGTTGCGGAATACAGGAGTCACATGGGTTTTTCGATACTGCCCACATTCCGATGTCAGTTCTCTAGCGCTCACGCTAACTTATTAGGGCTGGCGTGCTTCAGAAAGGATCAGATGAATGACGTGAAATGTGAATGCACATGGGGACTGTCGAAGTCTGGAAGCTCCAGTGTAATACCCATGACGCGCACTGAAAAGCTGTTATTGCATCCTCAGTGGGGAAAGTGCATAAGGGCGAGAGCTTGAGAGATAGAGAAGCATTCTGCTGTTGAAAACATTCGTACCCTGTAATTACTGATACGATCGACTGGCCATAGGAAAGCAATGGTCAATGAAACGATGAATGAAAAGGCGCTTATTAATTCACCCTTAAAAATGTCGACTGGGAAGATGGGCCGAACACTTCGAAAAAGAGTTTAGCTTGCCTCCTGTCACACAGCCTCTGGAGATAGTGCATAGGTGAATTGAATGTTAACCTTAATCACCTGTCGGAAGAAGAAATAAAGTACAAACTGTCCGTACTGAAACGTGAGAAGACACTATGACCGGACGGTCTGTATACAGCCCTCTTCAAAGAGGGCGAAGAATCCATGGTAACCCATCTGACAAAGCTTATGGGTGCTATTAGGAACATAGGGAAAGTGCCTGCAGAATGGGGCATGTCGATAATTACTCCTTTTTCCTCAATAAGGATACGCGGACGCTGTGTGAAAGCCTCCGTGGCACCAGCCTGGTAGCTATGACATCGAAGGAGCTCTCTGGTCTTATCCTTCGAAGGTTGACTGAACACAGGGAGAGGCAGATCCGCGAAAACCAAGCTGGTTTCTGTCCTACAAGAGGATGCATCGATCACATATTCACCCTCCGACAGATTCCGGAACGGCGACATTGCTTTTAGCGACACAATGGTTGTAATAATAATCAATAATCATAATCGTTCAGCTGTGACACCCTTTCGGTGCCTAGCTGCCATGCCACACGAACGAAGCACTAGGGCTGGGATACTGCCATGTTACCCAAGTTTAGACAGGGGAAGTCGATAGGAAGATGCCGGGTGCGAACCACGGACCTTCCGGTCAGTAAATCCGCGCTCAAACCACTGAACCATCTCGTTCCTTAATTTGAAAGCTGGATTTGACTCTGTGGACCGCCAGACATTATGGAATTTTTTATGGTACAAAGATGTCCTTCGTAAGTTCTTGACCCTGTACACGCTGTACGCCGACCCCCTTGGCAGTGTGAAGCCCTACGAGAAGCCGTGGTAGTGCCGTGGTGATGCAAGCAATATTAACTAACCTAAATAATTCTGTCATTAAGTTTGGCTCGCGATTCGCGCCTGCAAAGTATAAAATGCGCTTGTTCGACTAGGTGGGCTCGAACCCTTCGCTCATGCTTGCGGATGAGCCGATTGAGGTAGTAGACAAATTCGTTTACCTGGGCAGCTATATCGGTCCCGGTGGTCTCGCGAAAGACGATGTTCCCATCCGGACCGGGAAGACCAGAGCAGCTTCTGTGAGTCTACGTCACCTGTGGCGTAAGTGTGACAGCTTATCCGTCAGAGGTCGAGTTTAGAATGCTGCGATGCGATCCATTTTGCTATACAGGTCAGAAACTGAGGATGCCGGAAGACCTTCAGTGTTTCACCATCGATGTCTTCAGAGTTCCGCCAGATGCTTGTGGGAACATTGGATCAGCAATTCCGAAGTACTTCGAATGGTATTCGAATGAAATAACTCACCTGTGATAGATGAACCAATCATATTGCATAGGTTGCGCTTTGTTGGTCGGCTGCTCAGTATGCCAATCGACCGACTTCCTCGAAGGGTTCTTTTTCTCAGAACCACGCGAAAGAGGGAAACGAGCTAGGGGAGGTCAGACAATGATTTTGCATCGAAGTAGCGAAGCCATCAACAGCAAACTCAGCTGTGCTGGTCATTGCCGTCTTCCTGGATGGGGACCCCCAGATGGACCAAGTCAGTGGTTAGAGACATCGTCAGACATGGCCCATTTGCGCCCTCCATGGCGCTCGCGCAAACAAGCCGTGGCATTCAATGCGTAACTCGCTTCCGAATCTTCCCACTTAAAAGTCTACTGACAGCCCTGTACTTACGCACCAATTTATCAGCTACTGCATCCGATGCGCAGTTACCTACCTCACCTCCCCAAACGATCGGTGGACGAAACTACGGTAGTTACAACTGCTGTAGGTCAAGTGCGCGGTTCTTACTGCTGATGCTGCTGGTTCTGATGATGAGTGGCCATCAAGAAGAGGCTGGACCCTATCTCGCTTACATCTGTAGCCCGGTGAGCTGTACTGGAGGGTTCTGGTGCAGGATCTACGAAAGCCGTTCTCCTAGGTTGATCGATGGATGGAAGTCTAACTACCACAATCTCTTGGCCTTTTAGGTTTCGGTCGCAGCAATCGGCAACCTGTGCTGCTTACGTTCGGTCGGTATCGGTCTTAAACCAACCAAAGCTGCCTTATACTCAGTCTTTTGAACCCTGATCGTCATCCTGTCTAGGTTTGGGCTCTCTGGTACCTTCGCCCGCGTACAACCATGCAATGTACAAATAAGTCATCCTAGTCGCCTTATTCGCTTCACAATACGGGGCAGTAGGCGGTATGTGGCTACTGACACCTGGTCGCCTGGGACTGAAATCCAGAGGTACAGACAACTGTCAATTCCTACTGCAGTTATGTGCTTAGCACGGCTTATTTCTCCTCGGTACTAACATCCGGCACAAACAAAACCGTTTGGCTATATGGTGTCCTCCACTTGCGAGGCAACCTTTAATGTAGCTCGGCTGTATTTTGCGTGGATCAGGTACTGGTTGTTGCTCGTTCTGAAAAACTTGTTTGATTTCGTGTATGTTACTGTTTTTTGCATTTTTCTTGGGAAGAAAAGCTGCGGCGAGCAAAAAGCTCAGACATTGTGGTGGTTGCCGGAGATATGAATGCGCAAGTGGGCAGGCTCAGTGCATCTGAGACTCAATTGGGAGGTCGACATGGA